GCCGGGCGCCTCCAGCACCCGCGCGGGCTGCACCGGCCCTTCTCCTGGCGACGTCGTCCTCTTCGATGCTCTCCCGTGACGCCTCCTTTACATTTATGGCACGAGACGACGTCTTTGGAGAGCCGCTCCCCTGCCCGTTCTCCGGCTTCCGTGCGCGAGGGCGCCTGGCTGAGCTCCCTTCTCACCGCTCGCGGCCCCGGGCCTGCACGCACGGCACCCACACGCGGCCAGCTCAGGCCGGCTCACCCCAGCCGGAGTGGAAATCGAGTCAAACCAGCCACCGAGGGCTTTCGGGAGGCGACCGTGGGGCCCCACCCTACCTGCGCGACTTCTTCAAAGTCCTCGTGGCGCTTCTGCAGCGCTCTGGCCCGATGAAGAGACTTCCCCACGCCCGTGTGCTTGCTCAGGAACGCCTCTCCATGGTTCTCGATCCAGTCCAGCACCTACAACAAAACACAGGCGCGTGAGCCCTGAGACCACGCGATCGGTCATAAGGATCCCCGGGAAACGTGTGGGTGTCCAAACCGCGGCAACGGGCCACAAGGGGGAAGACCGTGGAAGCCACTGCCCTGGCCCCGCATGCCCACACGCCTAACAGCAGGCCGGTCCGCGGGGCGAGGCGGCCCCGGGGCACGAGCGGGCTCCGGGCGGTCAGCTCTCCCGGCGACCCGCACGAGGCCTGGGTTTGCGGAACCAAGTCCTCGGGCCAGCGGGGTAACCCGACATCTGTGCAAGGCTCCAAGCACAACTCGTGTAAGGATGAAGTTGATCTTTTTTTTCTTCTTCTTTTGCAGACCCAGAACACGGAGTAAAAATCTGAGAAACCACTTCTATGCCTCCGCCTGGTCTTTGCGAAAAACTTCAATTTTTGAGACGTATCTGCTGAGATCATTTCTGTACCTTCTACTCCCAGGAAGGAGAGGTGGGGGAAGAGGAAGAAAGACTTCCCTGCAACACATTCATGTTACTTGAAACACTTTTTTTCTCAACCCTGGCGATACTTCAGATGACTGCAGTGTTTTAAGGACACACGAGTCTGTACGCCCCCCAGAAACTCTGGCCCAGACGCGGAGTGGGGCGCGGCCCTGTGTTATTTTAAGCAGCCCAGGTGACTCTACTGCGCAACCAGGGATGTGAACGGGGTCAGCTCGCGGGCCTCGGTGTGGGGTCACGCGTGATGTGGCCTGAGTCCAAGCGGCTTGGCGAGGCCCCCGGGATGGGTACGGACCGCGGGAAGGCCATCCTGACCCGCCATGACACTGCTCCGTTCAATCTCTGCTCCTAAGTGGCAGGTTTCCAACCTGCAGGGTCTTAGTCTCCACAGCCACCCTACTGGGCAGCATGGGGCAGACCGAGGGGCCTCAGAGTACTTTTACAAGCAAAGTGGCTGCGAAAGCTAGCTGATGGGCTGGGAATGCTGAGAAGAAAGAGGCAGCAGTAACGAGTCATGCACTGGGCCCCCAGCTGGGACCAAGCACGTCACCGGCTCCTCCCGGGAGCTCTGTCCTTTGCCTGGCCACTCCAGGCACCCTACGTGTACACGGGAGCCAGCTGTGTGCAGGTGGGCCGACCCTCACCCCCTCGAATGCAGCCTCGCTGCCTACTTAGTGGGTGAGAAAACAACGGGGAGCGACAGCACTCAGCACCCCCGGGCTGGTGCGCACGGCACGGGCCGCCCCGCCCAAACCCTGAGCCCCGGGCAGGGCGCAGTTCACCCGCCCAGACTGCGTGTCCTGTGCCTTTGCGAATGCCCTCAAGACACTGCCCTCCTTTCCTGGGCTGAGGCAGCGAGGCGACCTCCACTCGGCGCCTTCTGTCTGGCCTCAAGGCACACGTGCACCTGCTAGGCAGTGTCCAGCCACGAGGCCTCCCGAAGAAGTCCAGCGACAACTTCAAGACGTCTCAACCTCAAAGACCAGCGACAGTTCACGGAACTGGCCCTCGGCGTGAGGCCAAAGGCAGGAGCCGGGATCAAGGACTTTAAGAAAAGCTCACCGAGAGTCCACCCGTCAGATCTGCAGGAAGAGTGCGGCTTTTTTTTTTTTACTATGACAATATTATATTCTGTATATTCCTGAAGTGTAAAGGGGAAAATTAAGTCACTGGTGAGCAGAAACCTAATGATTACTGGTCACTCAACACAGAGGGCCCCCGGAGGACGCTGCCCTAAGGCTGAGGCTCTTCCCAGCGCACGTGGGCCACAGGCCCAGTGCCCGCCTGCCTGCTCTTCTGGGCGATTGCCCCGTCTCTGTTTGGGCGGGCAGCGTGGCCACGTGCCCTCACGTTTCCCCAAAGTGAAACAGTCGTGGGGGTCCAGATGTCTTCAGGTCCTGGTCCCCAAATCTCACTGGGTGGCCACTTTGTCTAATAAAAATCTCGACTAGACCTCGGCTTATTTTGCAACATGCTCAAGGGGGCAAAAAGTTTCCGTGCCACTGATTTCTTGAGTTTCTGGCATCCGGGGGGCTCCCTCGAGGTGAGATGCTGTCTGCATGAACCTACCAACTCCGCTCCGTGCTCCCCAGATCAGGCCTGCACAGCCGTTTCCTGTTCGCGAACAGTCCTGACAA